GAATATCGGTATTGGTTATTGACCAAATATTTTCCAGGACATCCTTGTAAAAGAGATTGATGATCTCAATGGATTTCTTCCTGGTAAAATAAAGTAATAAAATAAAATAAAAAGTTTTAACATATTGGATATCAGCCAAAAATCCAATATCGTGCGTCCCTAGTTCAGATAGAAGGTGCTTCATCGCCTCGTAAAAGATTAAAGTGCCCAACTGATCGCTCGCGTTAGGCTAACGAGTCCGATGCTAAATTTGCAAAATATGGCTTTTCTGTGCTTTTAAAAAAAAAAATAGACACGTATTCGTTATGCAACAAGTTAAAGAGGAATAAATTGTTAGGTCAACAGTCTGCCTTCCAGCTCTTCAAACACTTTGGAGACTCCCTCATGAATGTCATTTACCAACTAATCACAGAGTCGCAGCCCAGTGAGATGCCACGCTCAGACGCCAAAAGTGTTGAATTATAGGCTCAAAAAAAAAAAGCATCTTTAAAGGAAACAAACTTGTAGCGGGCTTATATTTAAATGGAGACGAAAGCAGAGTTTGCAATGTTCAATTTTTTAATTATTTTTGTTATCAAGACGAAATGTTTTCGGTGTGCATCAAAGTAAATGATCTGGCTTTCCTTTTCTTTTTGATTCTACATGCACAGCATCAGTTCCCTGCATAGATTAGGCATTCCCACAGAAGCTGTTCCCTCTACAGCCGTGCTCAGCGAAGAAATTTAGCAGCAAACGTCAGCTTACCCTGCAACGACAGCAGCAACGAAACATGCCAAAAACACACGATGCAAATGTCACATGTTTTTATGCAAACAGCCGTTTAGTGGAAACAACAGTCCCTCCTTCATCACTACAGGTACCAGGTTCTTTTATACTGTTCGTTGGACGTTAACATGATGTAAATAACAGAAATGTGAATGTGTTTTTGTTCAGAATCGACAAAAAAAACAAAAAAACTAGTGCTCCGAGTTTGTGGTTTAAAAAAAAAAAAAGAAAAGAGGGGAAAACGTTGCCTCCGTCATGCTTTTATTTTGATTTTTCTACCTTTGTTATTTTTCTGATAATGTATGTATAAGACTATCGATGAGTGCGTCTATAGTGTGAAAGTGATTAATACTGTATATCTGGTGTTCTCTAAGATGGGAAAAGACGAAGATGTCCTGATTGATTCTTCTCCTCTTTGACTCTTTAGACCCTGCACAGTACCTGTGGGTGTTTTTTTCAGATAACTATGCCAGAGAATGGTTTAGCGACTGCTGAATGTGATTTTTACTGAAAGAGAAGCAGTGTGGACTGGCTTTTTGTACGGGTTAATTTAAAAAAAAAAATTAAAAAAAGGCCATATTATTTAATTTTGTTTCCTGTTAAAAGTTTAAGCAGATCTGGGAGAGTGGAGCCTTGGTTTTAAGGAGAAGCATTGCCGGGTTGTTGCGTAAACGAGCGTTTTATTTTATCTGTCTGACTGATGTAGCCTTTCTTTGCGTTCGTCAGTAGTAAATGACCAAAGCTTAGACACGTTTGATGGATTTCATATGCAAACCTCTTCATCACTGGACATTACAAAATGTAGCGGTTCGTTCTGGGTTGTTTTTTTTCTAATTCCTCCTCTTTGTCTCGTGCCGCTTCTCAGCGTCGTTCTTTTTGTCTTAAAAGTGTCTCAGAGTGGCCTATCAGCATCGATTCCCGTGATGTCCCAAAGTTTGGTCAGTTGAGACCTTGCCAATGAGGTCTTTGTTGTTTATTTCTTTTAATATATATATTTTTTGAGCCTGAAGTGCTGTCACGTGTTTACAGGAAAAAGAG